AGCCCGTGAAGCCATCACCACCATGGTAAGGGATCGGGGTGGGGGGAAGCAGGGTTCGTGGCCCCTGACCCCTCAAACCCACTACCACTCCTGGCACAGATCAGCTCTGTGGAGCGCTTCATCAACGATGTCAACTCGCGGATGCGCCAGCGGCAGGAGCGGCAGCGCTTGGACGCCATTCTCAGCCGGATCGATGCCTACGAGGTGGTGGAGGGCAGCACAGATGAGGTGGACAAGGTAGGCTGGACATAGCAGAGCTGCAATCTCATGCCATGCCATGCCACTCAATGACATCCTCTGCCACCCTGCTGTGCCACCTTATGTCACTTCATGCTAAGCCACCCCATGCTCTGTCATGCCGTGCCGCCTATGCCGTGTCACTCCATGCACCCCATGCTGATACTGGGGACTTCTGGCAGCTGCTTAAGGAGTTCCTGAGGCTGGACCTGACCGCCCCCATCCCCGGCACCTCCCCGGAGGACACCCGGCAGCTCCTCCTCGAGGGCAGCCTGAGAATGCGGGAAGGTAAAGACAGCAAGGTGAGGACTGCAAGGGGCAGGGAGGTCTCGGCTCCAGCCCCTGCCTACTCGCCCTCACTCTCTGCATCGACTGGCGCCCATGGCCCCACTCTCACCCCCAGATGGACGTCTACTGCTTCCTCTTCACTGACCTCTTCCTCATCACCAAGCCCGTCAAGAAGGCTGAGCGCACCAAGGTGATCCGGCAGCCCTTGCTGGTGGACAGAGTGGTTTGCCGGGAGCTCAGAGACCCAGGTGAGTGCAGCGGGCATAAGGGAACTAGAGGGAGGTCCCTGGACACTGCTGACAGCCCCTGCCCACAGGCTCTTTCCTCCTCATCTACCTGAACGAGCTGGGGAGTGCTGTGGCCGCCTATACCTTCCAGAGCAGTGGACAGTTGTGCCGCAGCTGGGTCGAGGCAGTGCGCAATGCCCAGGTGAGGGCACATGGGTGGGTGGGGGACCCGTGGGTACCCTGTGCACATCCCATTCCTCACTAATGACTCCCCCTTCCCAGAACCTGCTGCAGCGGCTGCGGCAGCGCCGGCGCATGGAGGAGCAGGAGGAGGAGGACGAGGAGGACGAGGAGGATGATGGTGAGAGTGGCACCTCAGCTGCCAGTTCACCTACCATCCTGCACCACAGCAGCGCCAGCCCGGACTCGCAGCAGTGGTAGGGAGCAAGAGGAGGGGACCTGCACACCCTCAGCCTGGCACAGGCCCCTCCTCACCTTCTTGCATCCACAGCCCGTCCGACGGCTCCACTGAGACGCTTGCCATGGTGACAGCAGACGGTGGCGATGAGCTCTCCTCCCCAGACTGGGACGCAGGACCCTTCAGCTCAACCTCGGATGGCTCCTCCATCAGCACCAGCGCCTCCATCAGCACTGGCACCTCTGCCGAGACTCCTACCTCCACTGAGACCCCCACCCAGGAGCTGCCTGCAGGCGCCCTGCCTGTTCCCCTGCCCCAAGGCGTGGCCTCTCCAGGCAGCGGCTGTCGCTCTTCCTCCATCGACAGCGCCTATGGCACGCTCTCACCTGCCTCTCTGCGGGACTTCGGCCAGCAGCCACAGGGGACAGCCGAAGAGGGGCAGGAGCCCTCCCTGGCCCCTCCGGCTCCCCGGCCTGCCTCTCCCCGGCTGCGCCGCCGAACGCCCGTGCAGCTCCTGTCTTGCCCGGCCAGGGTGCTTAAGTCCAAGTCGGAGGCTAGCTTGCCCCAGCTCCTGTCCCCCACTTCCTCAGGCCCCCTAAGCCAAAGCCGCAGCCTCTCTGACCTCTGTGCTGGTTCCCCCCGGACTGGCCAAGACCCCGCACCTCTGGCTGCCCCCGGCAGCAGTGGCAGCTCCACATCAGAGCTCTCAGAGCCAGAGGAGCCGGTGGAGAGCCCAGCATCCCTGCCAGGGGAGCTCAGGCGTGACCTCCAACCTCCTGCCCGCCGAACCCTCTCGGACCCACAGTCGGCACAGCACCGCAAGCTGACACTGGCGCAGCTCTACCGGATCCGGACCACGCTGCTGCTCAACTCCACGCTGACGGCCTCGTAAGCACATGCTGCCTGCTCCTGGGAGATGCCCAAGCCCTTCCAGGGGCTTCCCAGGGACCGAATCCCAGTGCTGAAAGCATCTCTCCCCTCTCTGTGTCTTGCAGGGAGGTCTGAGAACCGCTGGCGTGGAAAAGGACAGATGCATGGATGTACCAAGGAGCTTCTCCTGCTTCTAACCGTAGCGTAATGCCGGGGCTGGGCAGAGCAGGCACTGGGATGCCACGCTGGTGGGGACATGGATGGGGATGCAGACCAGTCCCCTTGGCGAGGACGTGTCCTGGGCATGGCGGTGCGGGGCTGGACATGGCACGTGGCTTGTGCTGAACCCCCTGTCCACAGACATGAGAGTTGTCGGGCAGGGGGCCCTGGGGCTGTGGGGGGCTGTGGGAGGCTCTGGGTCAGCTCCTGCAGACGAGGAAGGGATGATGATGTCGGCAGTGGTGAGTGGGGAAGGTGCTGAGAGGGACGTGGTGCCGGTGGCACGATGCTGTAGACAGTGCAGGGAGGAGGCTGGGGCTGGTGGCAGGAGAGGATGGCGCAGGGCTGAGGCAAGTTTGCCCTGTGGGATGGCAGTGGATGGCAGCACTTGGGACCGGAGTGTAGGAGCCACGGTGGGACATGCGCGGTGGCAAGAGCCCCGGCTGCCCCCCCATGCTAAGCTGCACTCCACGTCCCAGCTGAACAATAAAACCAGCTGGTGCACGCTCATGTCCGCCTCGCCTTTCCTTTGGCTTCAGCGGCACCCAAGGCTGGACATCACCTGGGTGGATGCGGTGTGGCCGAGGCAGCCCCACAGGGACAGACAAAGAAGGGGCTGGGGCCAGTTCCAGCCTCCCGTTCTGGAACTCGGGGTGGGGATGAAGCCCTGGAATGGGGGTCAGCACTGCTCCCCACATACCCTGCGTCCCCCCGTCACCCCCGCGGCCGTGGGTCTGCGCCAACGAGCAAGGGAGGGCGGTGGCCGGTCCCAGGCGAGGCAGTGCAGGTTCCTCCCGCGCCTAGCACTCCCGTCATGTGGTTTCGTACCCCCTGGACTCATTTCCAAAAAAGCATTTCCTCCTGCTGCGGTTGGGCGTAAAAGCCTGCCTGGGGAGGGCTGGCGCTCACTCACCACGCGTCGCGTGCTGCTGACGGCAGCCATGGGGTGCCGGGGCACCCTGCCCGGGCACTGAGCTGCCCCGACACCCCACTGCACCTGCTGCCCCACTCCCCTCACCGCCCCGGCATGACCCAGCCGCATCGGCCACAAGGATGAAGTGTTGCTGCCCTGGGGTGGCTTGGGTGAGTGCGGTGGCATGGGGGTCCCATGGATCCTTGGCACCAATTGTGGGGTGTCCCGCGGCTGTGGCCGTAATGGGTCTGGAGGAGGGAGGGAGGGAGGAAGATGGATTAACTCCAGTGCCAAGCGCGCCAAAACCGCTTACCCCTCTGGCTAACAGCTGGGGCTGGGCTCTGCTGCACCAAAACATTCACGGTGTGGCGTGACCACGGGGCCACAGTCCTTAAAGAGACAGGCAGGATGCGGCCGTGGGAAGCGTGGGGTCAGTCACGGGGCTGCAGGCAGGGCACTGCCGCGGGGAGTGGCTATGCCGACAGCCTGCGGACGGCTGCTTTCGGGACTAGCTAGGCGCACGGGCGGCGGCCAGGGCACACGGGCGCCGAGAGCGGCGGCTGCGTTCCGGGTTGGAGAGGCGCTTGCATGGCACAAGCGGCCGTGGCTCTCCCCACCGTGCAGCCAGCCCTGGGCCTGCCCCGTGCCCACCACTCCGCTGTCCAGCGGGCACCTGCTCCCCGCGCTGGGCAGGGGCCGCTGCCCGTCTGCAGGCGAGGTGCGCGGGCAGGGCCCCGCTGCGGGACGGTCGTGCTTCAGCGGTGACTCAGATGTGCCGCTGGCAGCTGAGACTGAGTGAGGCAGCCGCCCGGATCTGCCGGCAGCGCTCTGCGAGCGGGGCGGCCCAGCGCGGTTTCCAGTCTGCCGGTGGCGGCGGGTTTAGTAGAAAATGATTCAACTGCCGTAATCGGGGCCATCACGGCTGGGAAATCCAGCCCCCAGCGAGGAATCCCCTGGCTCCCTGCCCACACTGTTAGTGCCACGGTCCTCTCAGCCCCCGGCCCGGCCTGTGGAAGGGGTGTCAGCGTGGGCAGTGTTCGCTGCACCCACAGGAGCTTCCAGGGGAACGGGGCTGCCCTACGGACGGCACCTGGTACCCCGCGGGGGAGCAGTGACCTACTTTGGGACGCGCGTAACGAGGAGCGATAGCATCGGGGAGAGCGTGAGCCAGGCACGGCTTCCTTTCGGGGAGGAAATCACCTCCTCTGTGAGGGAGATAAACCCCAGGAAAGTCAAAACTGGCAGCATTAACCCCTAAGCACCCGGCTACCCACACCTCCCTGAGCTGGCCATCTCTGGCAGCACGAGCGGCCCGTGTGCCTGATTCATTCGTCCCCATCCCTGGGGACATGGCAGGAGTCCTGTTGGCACAGGCAGTGGAGCATCTCTGTGCCGCTCCCGAGCCAGCCTGGAAGCACCATCTGCAGACCACACGGGGGCAGAGCCCCCTGGGCACAAGCTGTGACACAGTGGCCCCCACAGTGCCAGCAGGAAGTTGCTTGCTCGTGTACTGCGAGGAAAGCAGGGCACAGGGGCTGCCTCGGGGCATTCCCGGCCCTGGGGCAGCACACCCACGCGGCTTTGGGGCAGAGGGTCGCGGCTCCAGCCGTTCTGCCCTGTGCAGGCACTGGTTTCCGCACAGTTCGAGGTACGTCTCTGTCTCTGGTAGCCCAGCATGATCTGGTGTGAGCCACGGGTGCATGGCTCCTGGAGTAACCCGGCTGCCTGCAGCCCTGCTCTCTCCCTGCTTGCAGGTTACCTTGGCAGCGCTGTGGCTGGCGGCCAGCGAATCGCAGCCCCCAGGGCCGCAAAGGCAGCAGGTCCTTGTGCAGCCACTCCCCCGCCTGCGGAGACATGCCTCCCGGTGCCCCGCCGACATGAAGTGGATCGAGACTGCTAAACATTGCTGCCGTCAGTGTCCCGCAGGTGAGCGCTGCCCAGTCAGTGTGGCATGGCACAGCACACCATGGCACAGCAAGTGTATTGCTCCAGGTGGCCGTGCTCCCTGTCACCCCACTGTCCCTGCAGGGACTTTCCTGTATAAGCCCTGCACAAGCCCTGAGAATAGCAGCGACTGCCGTACCTGTCCCGCCGGCACCTTCCGCACTCAGCCCAACATCTTCAGGGAGTGCCAGGCTTGCTACGAGTGTGACCAACACGGTGAGCTGGCACCGCACCACACCACACCGTGCTGTGCTGTGCAGTGCAGTGCCATGCTGCTCACTGCCTGCTTTCTGCAGCTTTCCAGAGTGTGCTGAGCAACTGCTCGGCCACCAGCAACATCGTCTGTGGCTGTGAGCCCGGCTACTTCCGTGCCTGCTTTGATGGCCACTGCAACGAATTCTCTTGCAAAAAGTGCCAGCTCTGCACCGGACGCCTCATCCAGCGACCCTGTGAGTGCTGCCGGCTGCCCCACGGCACAGCCTGTCAGCTGTGCCACCTCTGACTGTGCCACTCTGCCTCATGCTCACCCTCTCCCCAGGCTCGGATACGCAGGACACACTTTGTGACAGCAGCTGCAAACCTGACTTCTACAGAGAGGGTGACGAGTGCCGGCCATGCCCCAAGTAAGTATTGACCCTCCAGCTAGGAACGCATGTGGGGCCCATGGCATGGCACAGCATAGAACCCATGGGTCCCATCTCGGTCCCATCTCCTTGCAGGAGCACATTGGACACGTGTGGCAAAGAATGCCAGCAAGTGTGCAGCAGCAACAACAACCAAGGTATGGGGACAATGGGGCCAGGTTCAGCGGTGTGCAGTCACCATGCTGGCCAGCTGATGGGATGCTCCTGCTCCTCCTTTCAGGCTCAGGTCTGGAGTACATCCTGCTGGGACTCACTGGACCTCTCTTCTTGGGTGCCCTTGCCATCTACCACAAGAGGAAGAGGCTCTGGCATGGTGCCCTGTCAGGTGGTCCCCTCCCCACGGCACAGGCCACCACCTCAATGGCCGGGGCTGCAACCACACCGTGGTGCCAGTTCAATGGCCAGAGGTGGGACAACATGTGCTGGACGCAGCCATGCTCCCCACAGGGGACAGAGCGTGCCACTGGCACAGCAAAGCAGAGCCTCAACCACCAGGCCTTGCTGCCTGAACAGCCCAGTGATGAAGGGGAGCCCTCTGCACCCCCAGAGCCCCGCAGTGTCCTGCTGCAGGGCAGCCAGCTCTATGCCGTCATCGATGTGGTGCCAGTACGGCGTTGGAAGGAGTTCATGAGGATGCTGGAACTGCGGGAGGCAGAGATTGAGCTGGTAGAGCTGGAGGTGGCGCACATCCGCGACCAGCAGTACGAGATGCTGAAGCGCTGGTGCCAGCAGACCAGTGCCACACTGGACCACGTCTTTGCTGCCCTGGAGCGCATGGAGCTGGCCGGCTGTGCTGAGGCACTGCGCCAGAGTCTGCCTGCGGGACCCTAATCTCCAGCGTCAGCACCCTGGCACAGGGAGGTCCCAACGCTTCCACATCTCACTGGGCACCTCATCCCAGCCATACCCCTAAGTATTGTTACTTATGCCGTGTAGACATTTTATGTCAGTTTTATGTCCCCTTCCCATCTGCCTGTCCTCTCTATTTATGTCCCCCTGCTCCTAGGGCCGGGGAGGACCCCATGCCTCAGCACGTCGGCTGCCCAGCCACTCGCGGGACGAGCGGCCACCGAGCCCACCGCAAACCCATGGGATAGTTCTCAAGGCTGCCCGCTGCTGGGCGCTCCTTCTCCCTCCCCAATAAATGATATGTTCTCCATCCGCCAGCCCCGGCACTTCTTTGCAAGGCTGCGTAGGCCAGGCACCAAGGCACTGCTGGCCTCAGGACCACCACTGGTGATGTGGCCACCACAAGTGACAGGCAATGTGAGTGCTGGCAGAGATGCGGGCAGTGTGGGTGTTGAGGGTGATTTTGGTGATGTTGGTGAGGGGGACACCGCTGTCGGCGAGCATGGTGTGAGTGAGGGATGGTGTGGGCAGCCCCAGGAAGGCGCGGGGCACTGCTGGCGGGGTTTATCGTTTTAATCGCTGGAAAGGGAGGCGGTCTGGGCAGAGGTGAGCCGGAAGCTGGCCTTGAGCGGCTCTGGAAGGACAGGAGCGAGGGCGAGCACGCTGCAACTGCGAGTGGGGCCAGCGGGGCGTGCGGCGAGCCCAGCCGCAGCGGCCGAGCCGGGCAGTGCGCAGGGAGCCGCGTGTCCCACGCCGCGGCAGCTCGCTTTGCAACGGGCAGCACAGGGTGGGCTGGCGACAGCGGGATGCGGGGGCGGCGTGGGGGGCTACGGGTGCCTGGGGCGGTGGAGGGGGCTTCTCTGGGTTGGGCTATGTGGCCATCCACGGCAGGAGGAGGGTGCCGAAGGATGTCGCGGTCCATGGGAGGACCTGCCAGCCTCCTCCTGCTGCGAAGAGCCAGGATGCGGCGTGGCGTGGCTAGTGCTTGGCTATGTCCCCCTTCTTGAGGATGATCTGTCGCTGCCAGGGCGCCAGCTTTGTCTCATCGTACCCGAGAGTCCTTAGCTTTTCCGACTGCTCCTTCTCCTTCTCCTCCTCCTCCCGCTTCAGCTTCTCCTGCTCTTTCCTGCTTATCAGCAGAGGGCACAGGGCGCCGCGGTCACCAGAGCCGCGGGAGCCGCCGTGCCCGCCCACCCAGGGAAGGGGCTTGCGGCACTCACCGTTTCTGCTCCCTGCGAAGGCAAAGGGAAGAGTGGGGTTAGCAGAGCCGCGGGAGTGACCGGCTGTTCGGCATCCCCCGACCCTGGCTCACCTCTCTTCCTCCAGCTTCTTGCGCAGGATATCCCTCCTCCAGGCTGGCATGCTGGCCAGGCGCGCCTCTTCTTCTTTCTCCTGCAACAGACAGCCGTGTTACCGGCACTGCCGGGAGCCCACCCTCACTGCCGGCACCATGGGGCCGCAGCATCATCCTGGTGCGCGGCATCGCATCCTTCTGGCAGCCGCCCTCCTTGGCACGGTGCTGGTGGGGGTCACCAGCACATGGCTCACCGACGCGCCCCTCACTGCCCGCCTTCCGCCGGCGCCGGGAGGAGGAAGGAGCGCGTGGCGTGGCCAACCCTTGCAGCACACCACAGCTTTATTGCATGACACGCGGGGGCCCACGCTGCCCCGGCACCGCAAACACCACACCAGAGGGGAGCGCAGCCTCGCCGCTGCACCTCCCACACAACACACAGCCACGGCAAGCGGCACACTGCAACCTCGGCCCGGGGTCGCGCAGAACAACACCCAGCCCTCTGCAAAGCTGAGCTGCACCACGAGCCACAGAGGCAGGCGAGCACACCCGGGCACCAGCTCACAGCTGTCCCCGGAGCTTGCCACCGCCCCACGCCACACCACTGGCACAGCCTGCAGCATCCTGCCGGACTCAGGTGTCAAACATCTCTGCCTCCTTCTCCTTCCAGAAGGAGAAGCTGCGGTCAATGAAGCGGCAGACGTCCTCCTCGCTGAACTCTCCCAGCTCTGGCACTGGTACTGCTGCCCCCTGCCCTTCCGGGGCCATGGTGGGGGTCTCTGACAGGCTCTCTCCCACTGCCACAGGGTCATCCCCAAAAAACTCCTGCACGAGGTCCTCAAAGCCGTCAAGCCAGTGGCGGTGGCCAGCCTCGACCTGCTCCAGCACGGTGCGGTGGAAACGGCGGACGCGGTGCCAGCTGTGGCTGCCCAGGCGGTCAAACATCTCGTAGCAGAGGAGGTGGCGGAAGCGGCGCTCCTCGGGGCTGAGGGGCATCTCCAGCAGCTGAAAGTAGCCCAGCATGAAGAGGTCGAGCGGGAGGCTGTCGTGGGGCATGGGTGAGCCGCCGACGTGGGGCAGGAAGTGTTGAGGCCAGTACAGCACCGTGGTGCGGCTCAGCCGCCGGATCTGACGCCCTGGGACCCGGCGGGCGACACTCCTCCAGCGGGCCAGTAGCCGCCCCGCTGCCGGTCGCCGCCTCCCCAGCCGCCGCGGCCGCTCCTCCCCAGGCACCGCCGCTAGCGCCCGCTTCTTCCAGTGCTCCAGGAAGAGGAAGACGGCGCGCTCCTTGCACCCTTTGGTGCGTTCATGCGGGCTGCTTGGCTCTGGCAGCACTGGCCTGCTCCGCCGCAGTGCCCCATCCCCGTATTCTTCCTCCAGGATGGGCCGGCGGGTGCTACCAGGGGGCTGCACCCTCTTGCGCTTAGTGACCCTGGGGGGAGGTGCAGGGGGCCCCCCTGGCCCCTCGTAGTTGGCCTTGAGGCTGCGGACAGAGACCCCGCAGCCCAGGATCTCGCTCCGGGCGTCGTGCTGGGCACCGGGGCTGCCCACTGCCCGCCCTGCCTCAGGGCCCTCCCGGCCGCTCAGGGTGGCTGGTGGTGCGGCCGCGCTCCTCGGCAGCGTGGGGGACTGGCTACCGCGGGCAGGCGCGTCCTCGTGGGCGAGGGCGAAGCGCCGGGGTGCCGGGGGTGCGGAGAGCGGCACGAGTGGCGGCAGCTCCTCTTCCGGCCCCCCTGGAAGCGGCTGCGCCTCGTGCATCACCCGCAGGCTCCCCAGCTGCCTCTCCAGGTGCTGCAAATCCTCCTCCCGCATCGGCTGCCCGGCGGGTCCCGGTATGCCCCCGCGGGCAGGTGGCCCGCGCCGGCCCAGGGACGGCGAGCGGCTCCCAGGCTGCGGTGGGAAAGAGGGCAAAGGGGCTCTTGAGGCCATGCCGCACGCACCTCGTGCCACTGCCGCCGTGTGTGGCATCCCCGGGGTATGACGCCCCTGCATGCGGGTAGGGTGGTCCCCAGACCAACTGGGAACCAGAGGCAATGCCACGCACGCCATCTCGCCAGGTCCTGAGCTGCTTGGGCCATGCTCGCGCCGCGCTCGCCGCCGCAGCACGTGGGACCCTCCCCCTACCTTGCGCCGCTGCTCCTCTTCCTCCTGCATGCGGAGCTGCAGCTTGCGAACCATCACCTGCCGCTTCCACTCGGGGATGGGCCGACCCTGCTCGTCCTGGCTCGGCACCAGTGCCTCCACCTCCACCGCTGCCCCAGCGCCTGCTGCCGGCACCGGTGAGCTTCCGTTCAGCACTGGCTCTGGTGAGCCTCCCGCCAGGCAGCGTGGTGGCCCAGAAGCCTCGGGGGTGGCCGGCGGGGTGGGCGTCCTGGTGGGTGACGGGGAGGACACTGGCGACTCTGCCTGTGGAAGGAGGGAGGGAGGGCGGTGGGCACTTGCCGTGCTGTGCTGAGCCGCACCACCGGCTCCCCTGGCCCCCATCACCACCTACGTTGGCCCCTGCCTGGCCGCTGCCGGAGAAGACGGTGGTGAAGCCTTTGCTCTGTGGCGTTGGCTTGAGGCTCTTCCCAGCTTTGATCTCGGCCAGCAGCTCCGAGTTGTCGCCGGTGGGGGACATCATATTGAAGGACTTGGTGCCTGAAGGGAGGCAGGAGGGGCAGTAAGTACCCCACCAGCACCATCTCCCTGCCCCTGTGAATCCCTCATTAGCTTTCAGGGTAGGGGGTCTGGATGGATGGGTGGCTGGCTGACTGCCCCCTCCCCGCCGTCCAGGAGCCCCTGCAACGCCCTTGAAGCAGCATCCGGACACCCAGCTCACCGGTCCACAGAAACAGCACATCACCAAACTCCTGGGTCCATCACACCCCAGTGAAGCACCCCCCAGCACTTAACAGCCTGGCACCCCTGCTCCACAGATCCATAAGATCAGCACTCCAACAGCAGCTCACAGGGTCCGTGGTACCCTGCTGCAGCAGCATCCCAGCAACCCAACACTCAGCTGCAAGAGTCCCAGCCTGGCCCCAGCCCCGAATGCCACTCCATGCCCCCGAGCCACTCTGCTGCAACAGAAGTGTGCCTCCAGAGGGATGGCTCCATGGCCGATGGCAGCCCTGCCACTGCAGGACGGCCCCTACGCTCCCCTGGCAGCTCCCGGCAGTGATGCACCGACAGTCTGAGCCAGACTCCCTGCCAGCCCGGTGCCCAAAGGTCTGCGTGGCACCGGCACCCCTGGGATGCTCTTCCCACTGTTCATGCCACCCGCCTCGCGAACACCCACCGTCCGTGCCAGCCATGCGTGAGTCCCTAACGGCCCATGGTACCGTGCCAAGGCAGAGCCCCCTCCCCGCGGCCAGCGCCCGCAGCTCGCTCCGCTCGGCTGCGCCACGCCGGAGCCAGAGGGCTGCGGGTGCTGCGGGCCCAGCGAGACGCGCGCGCTGCCATCCAGCGCCGGCTGAGACCCCCCGGTCCCGGGAGCCGGCGCTAATAAAGCGGGCGCCGAGCAGCGGCCAAGCCCGCCGGCTGCAGTCAGCGGCGGGGGAGCGGCCGGTGCGCTCACGTGGCGGGGTCACGCCGGCCGGCTGAGCGCGAACAAAGGCCCTCTGTGTGCGGGGCCGCGGGGCCGTGGGGCCCGGCTGCCTGCCCAGCCCTGCCAGCCCTGCCTGGCGGCTTCGGCAGCCCCGCACCAGCGCTTGGCCTCCCGCGTGGCACCGCCGGCCGGCGACGCGCAGCGAGGGCCCGATGGCCGGGCAGGTGACAGCCCCAGCGGCCGTCGATGCCCCGCGGCTGCAGGACAGGACGTGCCGGCATGTGCCCCTCCGGCTGTACCCCACGCCAGGGCACCCCCTGAGCAGGGAGCAGCGTGGGACCGCGGTACTTACTCTTCATCTGC